AAAAACAGAATCTTACGCTAACCCATCAGAGAATAAAGGGGAAAAAATGATCAAGGAAAGGGGTGAATGTTGAAAGAACGGAGAAAAGGGCGACGTGAATAGGTTGTCAATTGTTTGACCTCTTGTTTTTGTGATTACAGTAAACCCCATGTGAATGTGGGAACAATTGGACATGTTGATCACGGAAAGACTACTTTGACTGCAGCTATTACAAAGGTTTGCCTTTTTCATGCATTTTCTGGGTCTTGAAAGCGTTGACCATTCAACTGGGTAGGACCTTAAGTGTTTCTTTGTGTTTAGGTGTTAGCAGAAGAAGGGAAAGCCAAGGCCATTGCTTTTGATGAAATTGACAAGGCCCCTGAAGAGAAAAAGAGAGGAATTACTATTGCTACGGTTGGAATTGCTCCACCCCCCCCCCCCCCCCCCATAAGGGAGGGCCCCCCCCCCCCCCCCCCCCCCCCAAATTTTCTGCATGCATTTCATATACCAATTCCATTTTTCAAACGTTTTAATGAGCACTACGTTTAGTCATTTTAGATATGCCAAAAATGGAATACTATTTTCACGGTCTTTTTTTTTCTTTTTAAAAATATTTGTTTTTTTCATATGATGTTGCAGGCCCATGTGGAGTATGAAACTACTAAGCGTCACTATGCTCATGTGGACTGCCCTGGACATGCAGATTATGTTAAAGTATGTCATGAATTTAGTCTCTTCTTGGATGAACAATGAAGATACATTTCAATTTTTTTGCAGTCTTTGGCTGCGTACCATGCTAGGTTCAATTTACATTATTGCGATGATTACATATAAAGAATTAAAGACGCAGGAGGTTCTGGAAACTTGTAGCAAGAGTGATGGGCACATGACAAGAATACTTTCATATTCTTTGCAGGAACCTTACATCCACGAATAACTGTTGTAACTAATGTTTTGCTAAACCTATGTAAAATGCTGGCAGTTATACATTAGAAATACCGGTGAAGAAAATGTTAGTCATTTATGAAAAGTGGATTGAGAAGTTATTTCTGATTTGACAGGCTCGTATTTATTGGAGAACTATTTGAGATTTTTTAACAGTTCTTCGGAGTTTACTGGTTAAATAATTGAATTCCCTTAAACTCTATTATTGATGCATCCAGTAATGATTCTAATTTATTTGCAGAATATGATTACTGGAGCTGCTCAAATGGATGGTGGAATTCTGGTTGTATCTGCTGCTGATGGACCCATGCCACAAACTAAGGAACATATTTTGCTTGCCCGCCAGGTTGGCATCTTCTATTAGAATCTAAAGCATATTTAGTTTTCCCTTTGACTCTTGTCTGATAATCCAACCTTGAGCTTTCTTCATCCTTTTTTCTGAATGTTTTGGCTAGGTTGGTGTACCATCACTTGTATGCTTCCTGAATAAAGTTGATGTTGTATCAGATCCAGAGTTAATAGAGCTTGTGGAAATGGAAGTGCGAGGTATGGTCCTTTTTAGATTGTGTTGATGGAAAGTTATTTCCTGCTTCTGTTTTATTTTATTTGCCACAAGTTCTTCACTAGACATTTGTTTGTGACAGAACTTCTTAATTTCTACAAGTTTCCTGGAGATGAAATCCCTGTTGTTCAGGGATCAGCATTGTCTGCTTTACAGGGTACAAATGAGGAAATAGGCAAGAATGCCATTTTAAAATTGATGGATGCTGTGGACGAATACATTCCTGACCCTGTACGTCAACTTGACAAGCCTTTCTTGATGCCAATAGAAGATGTTTTCTCAATTCAGGTAAAGAAGGGACATTTAGCATGCTGTGTTTGGATTATTGCTCACAAGAACTAACTGCATGACTGCAGCAAGCTTTTAGTGTTCTCTTTGTTGTTTTGGGATTTCATTTCCTTAGTTTGTCTTTGAAGCTCTTTCCTAATCTGAAATAGGCTGGTGAACTACTGGGTAACCCTGCATTGACGGTGCTGTAAATTTCCTTCTTTTCTTTGTATAAAACTCATGGTTGTATGTTTAAGATGTTTTGACTTTGGATTTCCTTTTTCTCTTCTTGTCATGCAATATTTGCGGTAAACTGTGCATAATTACTGTCTCATTCTTCACCTGGTATTGCTGTAAGATATCTTTTGCTTGCTCATGAAAAAAGTTGTGCTCTCTGGAATCCAACTTTAATTTCATTTTTTATTTTTATTGAAGGGACGCGGAACTGTTGCAACTGGCCGTGTTGAACAAGGGACCATCAAAGTTGGTGAAGAAGTTGAAATTTTGGGATTATCAAAAGTAAAATCTAACTTGACTATTTATTTTTTATTGTTTGTGAAGCATTTCATTTACTTCTGTTCGAAAACTAGTGTAGTTGTGATTTACTGTACTTCTCATTTGAATATTAACCAACAATTTTGGAGGCGATTGTGCTTTCAGTTTAGTCTGGATATGAAATTTAAGGAGTGCTCTGGATATTATTGTGCTCCAAATACTTGGGGTTTTTTTTTGCAGGATGGTCCCAAGAAAACCACTGTAACTGGTGTTGAGATGTTCAAGAAATTGTTGGATCAAGGACAGGTAAGACTACAGGTTAAGCACTATTTACAATTTAGGCCCAACAGTCTTCTTTGCAGCAATTATTGAACGATTGATGGGTATGTTTATTTTCCTAGGCTGGAGACAATGTAGGTCTTCTTCTTCGTGGCTTGAAACGAGAAGATGTGCAACGTGGACAGGTAAGCGGCAGGCAGGATTAAGGGCCCATTTAGTATTGTGGTTTCTTTTGTTTTTCAAAGTGTTTTCCGCTTGAAAATACATTAAAATAATATTTTTTTATATTTAAATTTTTTTTTGATACCAGTGCATCAAAACAATCTAAAAACACAAAGAAAAATTAATTTGAAGCAAAGAAAAAGGTAAAAATTAAAATTAAATTTTTGCAAAAGCGTTTTTAAAACACAAAAATAAACAAACAAACTCTAGAGACAAAACTGAAACACTGTTTTTATGGATTGTAGATTCATTTTATGAAATTTATAAAGTGCACCTTTTCTTATTACTGAATCTGTGATTTCAAACAAAAAAATATTTGATCGTTGTGGTTTATACTCTGTAAATTTGGCATTTCATTTAAACTCTAGGGACAAAACTGAAACACTGTTTTTATTGATTGTAGATTCATTTTATGAAATTTATGAAGTGCACTCTTTCTTATTACTGAATCTGTGATTTCAAACAAAAAAATATTTGATCATTGTGGTTTATACCCTGTAAATTTGGCATTTCATTTAATATTATCCTCTTCAATTTGCATTGATACTCTGTAAATTTAGCGTTTCATTTAACATCCACTTCAGTTGGCATCATTATGATCGTTGTTGATCAATGCATTAATGAAGAATCTAAAAAAAAAGTATGACTTGTATTGATGTTTGAATTTAGGTTTGCTTCACCGTCTTTGTTCCCACTTGTTATTTAGGTTATTGCCAAGCCTGGAACTGTGAAGACATCCAAGAGGTTTGAGGCAGAGATATACTCCCTCACGAAGGATGAAGGAGGTCGTCATACTGCCTTTTTCTCCAACTACAGACCTCAGTTTTACTTGCGAACTGCAGATATCACCGGAAAAGTAGAGTTGCCAGAGAATGTTAAGATGGTGATGCCTGGGGACAATGTGACCGCAGTCTTTGAGCTGATCTTACCAGTTCCTCTTGAAACAGGTGTTCAGCTAGAACCCTAATTCTGACTTTATGGTGCAAGCTGTTTATTGATCTTTTCCTTGGACACAATAGCCTGTTTGCTCCTGTCACGCAAACCCTTCGATTGTTATTATCACCGTGAAGTTTTTGGGCATATCACATGTGAGAATAGCAGTTGCATGACTGAATGAAGAAACTTGGTGTTGCTTCTTAAATCTGAAAACAAGTGATCAATGATTTGCCCCATGCACTGAATTTATTTCTGATTTTCAAATGGTAACTTGAGTGTACTTGAAGTACTCATGTGCCAAATTCTGCACATTTTATTTCCGTTGTTAATGTTGACAAGGAGCTGTAGCTTTGTTATTGTGGGATTAATATACTGCATGTTCTTGATATGACAGGACAAAGGTTTGCCTTGAGGGAGGGGGGCAGAACAGTTGGAGCGGGGGTAGTCTCGAAAGTGCTTGATTGAGTGTTTGTGATGGTGGACACTAAAAAAGGGGTGGTAAGGACTGATTATTATTTGATTAAAAGAAATGCCATGTGATGAGTTCTTGGACTGCATCGATGCAATGTTTTCCTAGGTGCTGCTAAAGAGCGATTGTTAGCGGTCAGAAATGGAGTAAATTTAAGAGGATTATTGTCTTCAACCCCATCCATTGCGTATAATTGATCAACGTGGTTTGATCATTTTGTTGTCTCGTTTTTTTTTTTAATAATATCCCTGTCAAAATAGCAATGGTTGTGGACACATACACCACGGTAAATCATTTTTGTTTGAAAGTTCTTCTTTCCCAATTTTTTCTGGAGTGAATTGTTGGAATAAGGTGTCTAAACGGCTGGCTGAGACTGTAAAAGTTCATTTCAGGAACTGTCTGAATGTCGAAATTACAATCAGTGTAAAATTACCGGGTCTATTCTAATTTCTATGCTTTAACAGTGAAAGTCTATTGCAGGATTTGTGCCCCTAACTAGAATGTGGCTAAGAACAGTCTCACAGCATCATAGCATGATTCCCACTCAATTTTTTCAAGAGTTTACATTTGCATGATTTCCACTGTCAAAATCCAGATATTCATGATGAAGCGTTAGAAACCTTGTTTTTTAATGTCCCTACGGAGAATGATTCTAAAGCCAGCTGCTGAATAAATGTTTTTTGGGTTTCAGACTAATTTTCAAGTACCTTTTTGTAGTGTTTTAATATACTATATTAAAAATAAATTTTAAAAAATAAAAAATATATTATTTTAACACGACTTATCCTGTTTAACAATATTTGCACTGGACTTGATACCTAACAGAAGAGAGATTAAAATGACCTCTTTAATGCCATTCACAAATTTGTACGAAGGCTTTATAGGTTTTCTCTGATGAAAAAAATACATGTTCCCTGTTAAAGTTCACTTCTCATTCATTTACACAACCGATCTTAGAATCTACAAGACCGACCTGAATGTATTAACCACCCAAGCTCAGATGCAGCAGCTGTTTGACTCGAGTCTGCCCGTTCAAACATCTGCGCTCTGCCAGTAAACTTGAGCCCATTTAATTATCACTTGCTACAGCACTTGCAGTTCCGGTCTCTACCCAGTCGTATTTTCGCAAAATATTAGGCATTTTCATGACGTCATGTTTCACAACTTCAATCACTTGATGCTCATACAAGCCTCAGTACTGCTACTGCCATCACTGTTACAGCTCTGAAGTATATGTCACGAAAACTTTTATTCACAATCCCCATTATTTCCTCATCCTTCAGACCTAACTTGCTTGCATGCTTGCTAATGTAAACAACCGTGTCCTTCAATTTACTCACTGCCCAAGAGAGCCAGACCAGCCCAAGACCAACACTGGTGCTGAACAGTTTGGATGCACAGAAGGATGCCCTCCCGCAAGCTAACCTGCAGGTGATGGAAAAAAGAATAGCAAGGCCAGCCCCAGCAATGCCAACAGAGAACTGGTTCAGAAGCTCAGGAAGTTCAGGGCCAGATTTCTTCAGCAACAAGACAGCTGATTTCCCACGTCGCTTGTCCATCATCAAGGATAGAAGGCTCTCGCATGCATGGAAGTAGTTCCTTTTGTAGAGATCCCTCTCTCTGCCTCCCTTTCTATTATTCTTCTTTTTTCGGGATGGCTTGGTTTTTATAGGACTGCCAAAAGAAATAACACTTCATTAAATGAGGACAAAAATAAATAAATAAATAAATGTAAGCATCTAGAAAACCACATTTACATAAGGCAATGCCTGCCCTGCATGTACACAGCAGCACAAGTTAAACCATTATCAAATTTTATCAAGACAGTGTAAATAAATTTGAGCCAGCTACTCGTTTATTTACCCTGTGCAAACACTTTACTATTTAGACTCCTTCCCCCCTTATACAATCCCAATAAGTCCAGTCATGTTTACCAATGGACCATAACCATCAGCATTAAGACAATAATAAGCTCTCACGGCGTAAAGTTCCCTTCATCAGATAATACGAAACACAAGCTGTTTGACAATGTCAGTCATTAACTTATTGTAATTCTCATAGGATGAATGGTGAAGATGTTTGCTAATTGATAGAAGAACCATTCCAATGCAGCTTCTTTTTTATAATGCTTAATCCCAAATGAAAGTGTCGATCACATTGTAGGCTCTCGCCCTTTCTCCATGCTTTCATGGTCAGATTTTAGTATTTTACAGAACTCCTGCTACCTAAAGCAACTATATACTGCAGCAGCTGCTATTATCAACTCTGCCAAACCATTTGCATCATATTACTTTAGTTGTCCAAATGATAGATTTCTTGCAAGCATCTCTATCTATGGCTATATCACGCAATAGATATAAAGGGGTTTTTAATTTATGCCCAATTTTACTCTTGTTTTTTAAACTAATTTGCTACCATGCATCTCTTTCTAATCAAGCTTTTCTACAGCAAGCTGTTTTTGTTCCTCTTTTTCTCTCTCCTTTTGTTTTCTTTCTTTTTTGTTAATTAAATAAATGAAAAATTACTTTGAGCATCCTATCGTGTGTGTTTTTTCACTTTGCAGCAAATTTTTGAATATTATACCTTGCAACCTAAAATTTAAAAGCAGATAACACTTTACATCCTTAGAAGTTGTTGCCAGAAAAAAAGTAAAAAAAAAATGTGACTTTATTTACATGACTGCCATTTCAAATAATAACTAAAAACCCTAAAGCCTAAAACTAACAAAAATACCACTAAAAGACTTGGAAAAAAATATAGACAGGGAGAAATCAAAAGGAAACAAGAAAAAAGAAAAGAAAAAAAGGCAACCCTTCTCTCCCATCTTTGGTACCAAATCCAGCTCCACCATCAATCCTTCTCCAAAGTTATTCACCAATCTTCCCACATTACCATATAATTTGGGTCTTTGGGAGCAATCACATCTTGCTCTTTAGGTCCATCACAATTTATCAAACGAGAAAACTTGTAATGGGAGAAAGCTTCAAGGTGTCAGGGTGATGTTTCCATCACACCACATGACCACACTTTGAAATTGCTCAGATCATAACACCAAATATGTCATTTATTCTTCCACTACCATTAATTTATTTAAATTGATTTCATTCTTACACTTTGACATTTAAAATTATTTAAAAGCTAGTTGATGGTACCAAATCCAACTCCACCATCAATTCTTCTCCAAAGTTATGCACCAATCTCCCCACATAACAATGTTGCCCCATCTCCCCCACTAACAAATCCAACTCCACCATCAAGAACCCAATAGGTCTACACCAGTAAATCCAGCTCCACCATCAAGAACCTCGTATCATCTCTAAATCAATGGCATATGGAAGCCTTCCTAAAAGATAGAATTGACCTTGTTTCTTTCATTAGGACCTTGCTTATGTGAGAGAAAAGAAAAGTTGGGATTTTTGGATGACTTTTAGTGAAATTTCTGGTGGGGACTAGTGGTGAGAGAACGATTGTGGGTTTGGAGAAGGTTAGCATGAAGAGAGAGAGAATGAGTTTTCTCATAATGGTAACTTTCAATGCTTTAATATATGTGGGGGTATTATTATCATTTCGTTGATTTTCAAAATCTGCTTTGACCCAGGTGGCAAAGTATAATATTCAAAAACTTGGTTGTAAAGTGCAAAAAAAATTAAAAAAATAGGATGCTCAAAATAATTTTCCCAAAATTCTTTTCAGAAATGCGAAAGAAGATCCCAATAACAAGGAAGAAAAAAGTTTAATCCAACAAAGTTCTTTAATCTCTAAAGACAATGTTGTGGAGCCCCATAAGAAGGCCAATAAAATAATTTTATAGCAAAAATAAAATGATAAATGCTCATCTTGAAACTATTGAATTTCAATCCATCAAACCGCAAAAGAGTATTGCAAACATAGCACATTCCAAAAAATTTGGCCTCCCTTCACCCACGTGAAACACACCTAAAAGCAATCCTAATCTATGCCTAAATATTTCAAACACTCAAACACTAGACTAAACTTTTGAATGAACACAATATAATTTAAGATCATAAAAAACAGGACAAAGTCTCTCATTTTGGGCATTTTCATGCTGACTTGTCATAAGAGATTGGCAAAAAGAAAATGAAAAATGAAGTGCTTTTGTGATGAATAGATTCCTACCTCTTCAAAGTAGATGAGGCATCTCTGGCCTTGAAAGATGACCCAGTAATATTAGCATCTACTTTACTTGTATCAAACCTGGTCAATCAAATGATTGCAGAAAAAAGTCTGACAATAGTGAGAAGGAAATAGAAAACAGGTATAACATAGCATGAAAAATTAGCAACAGCAAGTCTTATTGCAAAAATGGAGATTAGCAGACCATACAGAGCACTATCACCTAATCCTAATAATTGTGTAACCAGTCATAACTGTAGAAAGACTCAAAACCATCTTTTCAGGCACTGTTTTAGTAGTTTTAGATATGTGGAATCAGTTTTTGCGGATGGAAGTGGGTCACAGGCACTCCAAGTAGAGTGGATGATTTTCACTCAATGGTATACAATATGGTTTTAAAAGGGAAGACTGGGATAGAAAGATCTCGTGGAGAATTGCACTGGTCATAGTGATTAGTTTCTCATACTAGGCAATGTTGGTTCCAAAAATAAGTCACTGCCCAATATGTTTTAGGAAATGCCTAATGTCTAGAAGTAAATGACCCCAATAGAAGGAATTTTAGACACCAGATACAAATTTTAGAAAAAACCATGGAGTGCAAGGCATCCTTTGCGGGAACAAGAGCGTTTTTCTTTCTTAATAAGGACTTCAGAACATGTGGTTTCTATTTGGGGCAACTTAAACTCTAGAAGCAATCAGCAAGTTTACTAATCGAGTCAATCAGTCAAGATCATAAATTAGGATTTATTATTCCACTTAAAATATAAAAATTAAAAGGCGATCAAGGAATTAACTCTAGTTGAACCTTGAGAATTTTTCAATAGAATAACTAGAAAAGCTGCCTTGTGCTTCTGAGTTAAATGGAACCAGGTCTAAATATCAATACCTTGTAAGTTCTGGGATGAGCATCGACTGTTTTTTCCACATGGTTGAGTTTTTAGACAAGTAAAACTCAGCAACAGTAGAGAGGACATCCTTCATCTCTGTCCCGCTGCCCGTTAGCAATACTCGACCATCTGGAAGAACTGTAAGCTTTGAACTACGGGCCACATCTGCCACAAAGTCAACTAGAGATTTTGGGGCATCAATTTGACCACTTGGATAAATAAGAGGAGAATGTGACAGCTGTTGCGCATCAAATATCACTGTTTGAAGACCCATCAACTCAGATAGCAAAGATAAATCCAATCCATCTCTTTCTAATTTATTTGACTCGGACATAAGAAACTGCAAGATATTTTCCTGTCTTGTGCATTTTTCGACTATCCCAAAGCTGAAAAGTATTGAGTCTGGGCGAGCATCTGACAGCAAAACAAGAATGCTACTTAGAATACTTGAGTGCTGCGCAACAATATAATATAGATTTAAGCTTCACACATTAAATAAAAAAGGATGATGTCACTTGCCACATCATCCCATTAATTGTCAGAGAAAACACACACCAACTTCGACCCTTCCATAGCCTTCTAATTGTTTGATCATCATAGATTTCCCTTTCCATTGACCGATTAAAAACAAACTCTTATTCTATTGACCATGCTTTCCATTATCACTACAGATATCCTCTATATCTATGGGAGCTACTACTGCATTCTTTATCAGGGTGTTACGTCACCAGAAGCTACACACTCAAAAATTATATCACCTTTCATTGCTTTTGTTGCTTAAGTTATCACATGCCCATTACAATAAAAGATAATGGAATGAGTTAATTAAGAAATAGAAGTTCTAATGGTACTTTTACTAAAATTCAAATAAACTAAGTCTCAATTCCAAACTAGTAGGGTCTGCTGCATGGATCCACCTTCTCAAATCAGTTCTGACATGGAATTTTTTCACAGAAAAAATGACAAAGGATAAGTAACCTCAATACCAAACTCTTCAAATAAAGGAAGACAAGAACGAAACAAAAGGACTTTAAAACAAAGTTTAAGATTATCCATCCAGAAAAGGAGTCCACAGGGTTGCAAACCTTGCACATCAATGAGTGTAGGTGTTCTAACTGTTGAGTCAATCTCAGTAAACAGATTAGATTCACAGAACCTATTCATGGGTCTCCATGGTTCCTCGTGCTGGTGTAATTTCAGCACAAGAGAATTTGATCTTGTTATCTCTTGTCTTGTTCCCTGACTAGGTAAATAGTGCTGACAATCCTGCATCAATGAAATGTTAACTATCATTTATTGTTGAACAGACACAAGCTGTCATGAGATGGAACAAAAACCGAGAATAATAACATTGGCCTATCATCAACTAAGCAACCAATTAGAATGTTTTCCTAGGATGATAAAATCTTCTAAATATAATAGTTTTGGTTTTTGTTGGATCTGGGAAAGATTGTGGAGGAGATTAAGATATCTTCACTATTATACAAGTACAACCTTAACAGAAACATACAGATAAGTCAATAATCAAAACATTGAGTAAAATAATAAATAGATATCAGTATATTGATTTCATAATTTGCACTAAAATTGACAACAAAATGAAAAGATTATTTCCAAGTCGCAGATAAACTGAAAAAATTATGGAAATGAAATAGGAGAGGCAATTTGGTACAAGCTAATTTGAGGGTTCAATTTTATTCGATAGGTGGCAGATTATTAATGGAGCCTAGTGGCGGAGGCAAGAAATCGAGGCGTTGCATCTCTTACTCCAGATGGGTCTGGCTCACCTAATAAGATCAGGTTTTACTTAATTTATTATGCATACATCACAAACTGTACCGCGGAATTCTTTTCTAAGAAGAAGAATATCAAGGGAAGTAGCTGTAGGCTGCTCAAGCCTGAAATTGCAGGACAAAAACTCACTCTCGTTAAACAGTTAAAATTAAGTGTTATCTGCCTTGCAGATGGGCAGACAGTAAAGGCTTTTTATCTCTGGAGCCAACAACAGCTTCCAAGCACAGCTCTCAACGGACACAATAGAACCACAGAATCAAAGCAAGCATGAAACTGAAGCAAATCAAACCAATTTCAAGAACCATTCCACATGAATCATCCAGAAAAAACAATCAACAGCGGGCAGAATAACAATCATACCTTGAAAACCCTTTTCTGATCTTGGTGAAAAACAATAGCAGGGGCAGAAGGATAGCCATGAGAAGCCATCAAACAAAGCTTAACCATCATAGAAGAAATCTCTCCTCCTCCTGTGAGAGTCACAGCACCATATACTTATCCATCCATACCATAGACCTCAAAATCAAAAACATAAAAGACTCTGACTTTCTTTTTTAGGAGCACCCTGCCCACAAATAAAGAAGAGACATTGATAAGATGAACATATATTTCTGTGGAATGAAATTGGATAGAAAATCTTCGGGGTCAAAAATCTGTGGCAGACAGAGAGACACAGGATGGCTTGCCTTCGCCTTGAGAATCCAGCTAGGTTAAGGACACTCAAGCAGACAAAATAATATCAATTAATCTTTCTTTCTTTTTTTGTTTTGTTGTGTCTCGGATTCTGCTTCTCTGGAACTTTCTTTCTCCTTCACTTTTTAAATCATGGGAAATAAATAAATTGTAATCGTGTTAAATTAAGTTATATTAAAAATTTGATAAACATATTAAATTGATTTAATATATACAGAATATAAAGATGAAATCTTGTTTTTATTTCTGTGTTTTTATTAACTCCGTAAACAAACTTTTATGAAAAGATTTGATCAAATTTATCTTGTGTTTGTAATCGAAAATTACTTTTTTTCTGAAAATTTATTTGAGAGTATATTTATAGTTGTTTTTTAAATAATGTTTTATGCTAAAATTTATATCAATAATTTTTTTATTTTTTAAATAATATTTTTAATGTAGCGTTTTAAAATGATTTTAAAATATTAAAAATATATTAATTCAAAATAAATAAAAATATAAAAAAACTTAAGTATTTTTAAAAATAAACACATCATAGTTATAAAACTATGTAATTGACCACGTTTTGCTGCTAATTGGAAAGAAAAGATAAATGTAAATGATATGCATGCATTGCTAATATAATTTTTAAATATACTTTTACCTCATCATATTACAATAAAAATATATGCTATTAAAAAAAGTAAACCCGGTAAATCTTTAAAAAAAATAATGATGGGTAGGGGAAAAAACGTGTAATATGATAAAAATATTCATATACCTTTATTCAAAAACAAAATAAAAATTAAATGTTGTTTCATAAAACAATATTTAAATTATATTCTTAATGAATTTAAAATTTTAATAAATTAGTATATTTATTTAGATTAATTAATTTTTTAGAAAAATAAAATTAAAGAAAAGGCCAAAAAACATGTCAGGTGCTCGGGCTTACGTCACCCAGCATGATTTGGCCCACTAAAAAGAGCACAGGTGTGTTGGCCTACCAGATCAATCTCACGCATATGAATTTAAATAAAAACCCTTTTATTATCAAGAGTGGAAAAAAATTATTGGGCCACAAGTGGCAGACAACTTGTCGCTTACTAGATTGCTGCCTAGAATTTAGCCACGTAGATAAAAAAAAATCAATGGATGGCCTAAAAATCCATTCTTAACCCATTTTTCACCTATTCTAAAAATACCTTAAAAAACTCCAAAGAAAAATTAACAGATCAATAAAATCTAAATTGACCTCAATTTACTTTTTCAATGTTCATCATTACTATTAAAATATGATTAACTTGAACTTTCTTTTTTATTCATTGTATTTTTTAATGATTTTATCTTTTTTATTAAAATTAATAAATAAAAAGTAAGTAAAATAAATTTTTAAATCAAAATAAAAATTCTAAAAACTTTGAGATTGACAATTTGTTTTTTCCGTGTTTTATATTGTGATTTTCTATATTTTAATTTTGTATTTTAACCATACTTCAAAACTTTATCTCATCATGTAAAATTAAATAAAAAATTAAAAATTAAATAAATAATAAAAAAATATATATATAAAGGGGTTTCAATAAATACAGAAGCATAAGGAAATAAACACTAAATCTTTTAATATTGTACTGGCAATGAAAGATATGTTACTGTAAATTTTTTTATGGTGGTTTTGATAAACTATAAACCCTAAATAATAATTTGTAAATTGATTAGATGCAATACTGCCTAAAAAAGCTCAAATAATGCTTCTAGTTATTCTTTAGAATTTTGTTTTGTATTGGGATAATAATTATTTTTTAAAATATTTTTTTATTTAAAAATACATTAAAATTAATAAATATTTTTTATTTTTCAAAATTTATTATTAAAATCAGTACATCAGAATAATATTAAAAAATTTAAAAAAATAATTTCAAATAAAATAAATAATTATATAAAAATATTTAAACAGGGTATAGATCACGATGTATCTCCGCTACCGAATAAAGAGCCCCTGGGAATTCCGTAAAACCACAATGTGGTTTGTTTGCACTATATAAGCACTGGCAATATTCGGTTATTCTGTTCCGATTTTGATGGATTTGATTCCATTTTTTACCAATAAAATCCATGAATGGAATTATAATTTCGATTTCTTCAAAAAGCTGATTCTTTTAAAATATAAAAAAATAATTTTTTATTTTTTTATTCTTTGAACACTATCGATTAATTTTTAGTCTTTCTTATCAAATTATTTTAAAGAAAGTGATAAATATCATTTCAAAATTCGAATCAAATACAAAATAGTCAGATAATATAGTCCCTACATTCTCGAATTATACAGTATAGTTTTTTTAAATATTTAATTATTGATTACTACACAGTCAAATACATAATATAGTCCCTACATTGCTCCATGAACAATGTATTTTTTCTTATTTTGATCGTGGAAATTTATTTATTTTAATCAGGTCCTTTCATTTGATGTTTATGGTATTTTGTGCGTTAATATTTTCTTCTCTTTGTATATTGCTGGGCTTCAAGGTGTTTGGTAAAGATTTGTAGTGTAAAAAATAATTAAAGAACAAGGACCACCAAGATAAAATCAAATGGGCTCTGCCCAGATTCATGTGAAAAGGTTAATTTTGGTCCATAAATTCTCCATTTAGTTATTTTTTGTACCCTTAATTTAAGAATTTTACATTCAGGTCATCAAAGTTATTATTTTATGTTTTAGCTTCTTAGTTTTGAGAAAAAAATAAAAAATCATCTTGAAAAAAAAAAGAAAAAAAGAGAGTGGTTCGTTAGGCACATTCTAATAATAAAAAAGTTGACATTAGTATTATTAAGTTTCGGTTGAGAAGAGGAGTATCAACTACATGTTTATTTACTTTTTTTGTTATAAAAAAGTTAACGAGGCTAGTAGTTTTTTTAATTCAATTTAAATTTGGGTTTTTTGACTTGATTTTATGGTGTTTTGAGGTTAATAATGGTTTTGTTGAGGTATTTTTAGGTTTTCAAAGGTGAAAATGAGTATATTTTTCTAGAAACTCTTATCCTTATTTTTTCAACATCCTCAGTGATCAAAATCTATACCAGCAGGTAAAGCATTCTCTGCCACAAAAAACAACACATTCCTTGTCTTGTTGAAAAAAGAGAAGAAAAAAGACCAGGTCGCAAGCCTGGCCTAAGAAGCCCGGGATTCTTTGTATAAAACCGGTACATTGGTTCAGTTAGGTATAAACGTCTGATTTATTTTTAAACGGCCCTCTAGCTTTTTTTTTCTTTGTAGATTTTAACTAAAACTCAATATAAATAGGTAATCCAACTAAGAGCTCCCAATTGAAGTAGTAATATTATTGAATCATCATAACTACTTCAATATCCATTTTATAGTTCCTATCCACAAAGTTTTTCTAAATTCATGGGATTTATACAACTTTTTGTCTTTCCATTTCTTTTTTTGTTCCGAACCATTCTTTGAATTCGAACTCTTTATTCTTTTTCTCAATTGAATTTCTTTATTCAATATTGAATTGAATTAACAGTTACAAATGAAACAAAAGGATTTTTATTGGAATCCCTACCCCAATTCCTTCAAATGAAAAAAAGGATATCAACAAAAAACTCTCATTCCACAAGCATGAAGGGAAGGGGTTTGGATTTCGCATCTAATTGAACTGTGAATTCAGGGAATAGGCTAATCTCTTTTATGAATTTTTATTATTAACTATTGGAAAACAACCCATCAAATTCACTTTTTCCTCCAATTTATGGTACACGGTTCTAGTGACAAGAAAAAGAAAAGACTAAAGAAATTATATAGGACTCTGTTTCGAGGCTGATTGGAGTAGCGTTGTTGCATCAGAAGAAGGATAACTATACTGATTTGGTATACCTTAAAGAAACCCTCGATATGGTATTGACGATCTCACAAAAATTGAATTTCAATGAATTTTCATTTACTGATCTCGTCTTTTATGGAATCGATCCCCTTTTGACTGTACAAGAATATGTAGAGCTTGCATACCTGGAAGCATAAGAGAACATTCTTTTGTTGGTATTTTTACTAGTATTTGATATCAGGTCATTCATAGCATTACCATACCTTCCCTATTAATTCTTAACAAATTAGCATTTGTGATTTGTGAAAGAGCGTTCCAGCTATATATGAAATCCCTGATTAATAATAAGATAAATAAATTCTTTTTTGAATTCCATAGATTGACGGAATTCGTTACTATTTTTGAATCTCATAAAAGAGATAAAAAAAATCTAGGGATATTATGTGATTAGTTGGTATCTAAAATATACAATTCAAGTGAGCAAGACGGAAAAAAACGATTGAAAATAAATTTATTTATATTTAAAACCTTATTATATTAAATATTATTCAAAATTGCCTTTATTTTTTTTTGTCGTGCGTGCGCTTGTGTGCGCGCGTGTACACACACACACACACACCTCCACGTTGATTTTTTAAAAAAACATTGGCCTTAATAGTTCATATTTTGATAGACTTTATGTAGGGTTACTGTGAAGTCAAATAAACTTCTTGTTGCTGGGCTAACACTTAATTTTAGAAAAAAAAAAATGGTTTTCAAAAGATTGAAAATAAAAGGACTGTAATAAAAAGTTAGAAAAAAAAACTAAACTTAGCCTTTTTTTGTCCTTCAAAGGAAGAAAAGAAGAAATCAAACCCGAGGTTTCAGGAAAAAAGAAAGAAATAAAAGGAAAAAAAAAAGATCATTAAATATATACTAGAACTACATTGTCACCAAGTATCGTTGTAAAAGGAACCCCCCTTTAAGACTATTCCAACATCAACAATGAAAGTTGCTATTGAAGCTCGAAGGAAACCACATGCATCTCCCCTATGTGATAATCATCATCGTATATCAGTGAATGTCAAACATACTACCTTGTTATTTTTGTACAATTTAATCTTTGATTATATAATAATTATTCAATCCAATCCTGAATTTGACCTCACTCGAGTCCAATGAAGGACTAATCAGAAAAAAAAAGAGGTGTGCAAATAAAGAGACAAAGGCCAACCATGTTAACTCACCATAAT